CTACGTAAAATTTCACACTCCATGTCATCTCTCAATACAGCAAAAATATGTTACCTCCTTCCTGTGAAGCCATTCAGGGAGTGAAAGCACGATGTTTTAGCTTAATTACCTAGTGATTGATTGCTTTAATTCTTAATTTCCTGAAGCTAATGCAGTCTGATTATAAATTCTCTAAGGTGGGAAAAACAATTTAAAAGTAGTATAAACAATTATTACACAATGACAAAAGACAGTGTAAGGTGCAAACTATTTGAATAAGCACATATTTAGCATTTTTAAATTGATTTAAATAGTCATTTACATAAGAAGACTGATAAAAAGATTTTCATTATTTATAAGACAACTCATACTTTGTAAAAATCACCTGAGTATTAACAGCCTTGAGCAAAAGGCATGTACCACGTGATGTCTTTGCCTATTCATCTGTCTAGTCATTCAACAGAATTGTTGAGCATCACTACATTCCAACACTATACGAAGTGGTAAGGGATGCAAACTACGGCCTCACAAGGAATTCAGCTACTTGAGGCAACCAGCATGTAAGGAAACAGTACCATACAGTGTTCTAAGAATATTTTCAGGGAGGCTGATTATTTCTCTGTAGGCCAAGGGGGGACAAGTGGGGCAGTGAGGAGGCGGCTTGGGGACCTAACAGTTGGGCCGAGTATGAGTAGGCCTATTCAGCAGGCCATGGAAAGGGAAAGACTGCAACCCAATTAAAGCCTTGGAAGCAAGAGAGAGCGTGCACACATAGATGCCCGCAGGTACTGCAGTTGGGTTGGATGACGGGAGGGAGGCGATTTTCGGTGAAACCAGAACAGAGAGAGAAGCTCAGGGTGAAAGCCCTGGAGCCGGTTTTGGATGAGATGTTTTGGGGTCACTGAGAGGAGCTGCCGGGGAGATGGCTCAGTGGAATAAGCGCTTCCCTGGCAAGGGCAAGGGCCTGAGTTCAATCCCCAGTTCCACCAAAAAAAAAAAAAAAAAAAAAAAAAAAGAGGAGCTGCCAACACTATTCCAGGACTACCTGCAGGCCTGGGTAAGGCAGGCCAGCATGGCTTCCCTCTCCACGACCTGCTTTGGCCTTCCTCTAGATGTGCCCCTCCACACAAGGCCAAGCGACTCCCCGCTCGCAGTACCCTGCAGCCCCGCTGGACTGTTCCAGCCCCCCAGGATCACAGAGCTCTTTGCCTACAGCCTGCTTCCAGGATCGGTGGCACAGGCACCTCAACAGAGGATGCTGATGATGGTCGCTGTTCCTTTGTGTTTCTTTAACCTGCCTGACTATCCCTTTCTTTTGCTACCTCGACTCAGATTCACATGTGCTCTGGTTTTCATGCGTCCCCTAGAAGTTCATGTGTAGAAAGTTAATCCCTGAATTCATGAGGCTGGCATGTGGAGGTGGGGCCTGTGGGAGGCACCCAGGATTAGATCAGGAAGGTGGGCCCTGTGGAGGCAGCAGTGGCTTTACAGGAAGAGGAAGAGAAGCCTGAGCTAGCACCCCACGATGCATCGAGGGGCCCTCCCCAGGTGCCAAGCAACATGCTTTTGGACTTCCTAGCCTCCAGAACCATGAGGTAAGAAAGCTTCCATTTATAAAATGACTTTAGAGTTTGTCATATTAACAGAAACAGACTAACATATAAGTTACTTTCTTTTTTTTTTTTTTTTTGCGGAACCAGGGATTGAACTCAGACCCTTGTGCTTGCCAGAGAAGCACTTATTGCACTGAGCCATCTCCCCAGCCCTTTTTTTGTTTTTTCTTTCTAAGTTACTTTCTTGAGGAAGACTTCTTCTTGTTGTCCTTCTGTCCTTGCGCTGCCTTCACCTCCCCGGCTCACCTTTATTGCAGCACATGTAGAGCACTTCATGAGATACTGGTACTTACTGGAATCAGTGGTCTCGGTTAATATGGTGACCAAGCACTCTGATTTGCTGGAAATGTCTCGCTTTGTTTTTATTGTCTTTGAGACAGGGTATCATTGTGTAGTCCAGACTGGCCTTAAAGTCACTGTGTAGCCCACGCTGGCCTCAAACTTTCAGTGATCCTCCTGCTTCAGCCTCCTGAGTGCTGGGATTACGGGTGTGTGCGCTACGCCCACCCTGGAACTGTCTGGTTTTACCACTCAGAGTCCAACAGCCAGGAAATCTTTCAGTCCTAAGCAACCCAAGTGGTCAGTCAGTCATCCTAAACTGACATCTGAATTTTTTTAATGAGTAAATGGATGAATAGAATTTCAAATCAAAGCTGAAGGCCCACAATTTTTCTTATGCACAGGTGAACATAAGCCCCTCAAAGTGGCTAAAGAATTCAGTTCTTTCCTTATACTCTTCCACCCTCATGAAGCTGAAAATGGGTAAAACATAACCTGACTGAATTCCCGTTCTCTGTTCTGCCCCATAATGCTGCAGAAAAATAGCGCAACTCTCAGTCAGATCTCTAAACAAAGGAGAAAATTGTTTTTGTTCTACTTTTTGTTTTTTCTCAGTGCTGGGGATCGAATTCAGGACCTTGCACCTGCCAGGCAGGCGCTTATACTGCTGAGCTGTCTCCCCAGCCCTACTTTTTGTTTTTTCAATTCTCTCAGGATTGATACCTCACCAATATCCACTTTAGATACACACTTTCATTACATATGATTGATACCTTAGGACCGTCAAGGCTTCGTTCTTTCACCTATTGAGACACCCAAGAATGCTACTATTCTGATTGTATCTCTGTCTTTGTAAATTAGGCAACTGGTGGAGGAGAGAAGCCATGGAAAGGAAGTGCCAGAGATAGAGCTTGTTATCTGTGTTCTGCAAGTGAGGAAGGCCTAGGAGGAAGTAGGGTCTTCTTTTGCCAAGATGGGCCAAGGTAGAAACCCTAAGATCTTCCTGCTGTCTGTGTGCCTGGAGGGGAGGCAACACTTGCCTCCTAGGACTTGACATAGTGGTCAGAGCCGCCTTTGCTTCTCAGCTGGCAACTGCCAAAGGCAGCTCTGTATGTCATATTCGGGAAGACAAATGCTCTATAAATAAATTGTCTTGGAACAGTCTCAAGTATGCATAAACCACAATGTGTTTAAATGTAACTCTCCACTCTTCTCTCATATTCTTTCTCTTTCTGAGAGGTCAGCAAGGAAGCCCCTGAAAGACAGGCCTTATGAAAATTCGGTCTGAGAAACCAGGGAAAGCTTTTTGCTATCTGCTCTTTCAAAACCATGTATCTTCCAAATGTCTGCTTAGAAGTTCTAGGATACAGTCCGTCCCTGTCAGCACTCAGTTGTATATTAGACTTAAGTTCACAGTTGTTAGGCGTTGTGCATCAATCCTTTTAAAAATTGATTTTCTAGAGGAGATGATTATTCATTTTGTCATTCAGTTTCCCATCATGAAAAATTTCATATGTAAAATCAGCACATGCTAATGGGGTACTCTGCTCAAGGAGATTATTTTTAGTGAGTCAGCGGAAAGAAAAGATCATTGACGTGTCTCCCGTCTGAGGATCTGAGGAGGAATCAGGGTAGCTTTTTGAGGATTACTTTGGAAAGACTTAGAACCGATCAGAATACAGAGGTGCAGCGGAGGGCTGATTCTGAAGCAGAGGTAATACTTTTAAGTAAAATGCTCCCTGATGGGTATTTATTTCATTTGTAGGATAAGGTTAATTAAATCTACTTTCTCCTTGCCACCATTACATCACTACATTAGCAAGGTCAACGGAAGCACAGGGCTCTGGTTTTTCATTGGTCATTGTCTGAAAAGGTCGCAGGACTGCCAATGCCAATTAGAAGAGCACTTAATGTGTGATTGAAAGAGATCTCTAGCCTAACAAAGGAAATACTCTGGATGGTGTGAGAAAATGTCTATAGGCGGTTAAATTCCACCGAAGCCTTCCAAGTGGGTACGGATTGCTGGGCAGGAAACCGTTCTGGAAGGAGGCCTTCCCAGTGGAAGCGATTTCACCTTGGCCTGCTAAAACTGCAGTTCCCCGGGCTGCAAGAGTTAACATCCCTGTTACTGGGTAAAGTTCTAAGGCCTTGACATGGCCTAAGATGGTTCTTCCTGGGCCGGGAGTGTACCATCAACCTCCCGAGGAACCGCATTTTGAGTACTACACCCTAGTTGGGCTTTAATCCTCTAGCATCCTCTCCGCTGGCTATTGTGGGGTCCCAGCCTCGCATGCAGAGCTGTGTGGAGAGGCAGATGGCAGAGAATCTCGGACATCGTGGGTTTGGGGACTTTCTGATAAACGACTATCGGCAAGGAAAGCGCTACTGAAGTATGAACGGGAGACCCTTTCAGGTCAGCCTGCCCGCTGAGCATCTGCATTCATCCCGATCCAGAGTTCCTCGGGCTCGGTGAGGAAGAGAACCGGCGACGCGCGGCCTCCCGGAGCCCGAAGCACTAGGCTGCGAAGCGGGAGCGGGCTAAGTGTTTAATAGGGTCTGTCCTCTTCCTTCTTCACTGACTTAGGGTGTTTGCGTCCACCCGTCCGCAGGAGCGGGAAAGCGGTGGTCTGAGCGCGGCGGGGAAGTACCGGGGGAGAAGAAAGCTTCTCCAGCCAAGCCCAGCGCAAAGCGGGAAACTCTGCCTCCTGGCGCAGTTGCCAGGACAGCGCGGCGCGCGCAGCAACGGCAGGAGCCGCACCGCGTCCCGGCGGCGGCCGCGGTCCAGATGACGCATTGCAGGTACGAACCGGCCAATCAGAGGCCGCCTCAACGACCGGCGCGGCGCGCGTTCCTGCCGCGATGCTCCTCCGCGCCGCAAAGTAGCGCTCCTCAGGCGCGACCCTGCGGTCCTTTTAATGGCCCTAGGGGAAATGAAACCCACTTGCGTCACCCGTCCCCCCTTTCCCTTTATCGCCTTTACTCGTCAAGCGAGTGACTGCGGGTAAAGACGTCTCGAGGAGAGTTTGAGAGGAGGGGGTTGGCCGGAACTCCTTTGCGATGTTCCGTTATCTGGCACGCGGCGGAGGGATCTGGCGGAGGGAGGTGTTTATGAGCCGCTGGGGGCGGAGGAGGAGAATTAGTCCGAGTGGAGCGAGCGAGCTGAGCGGTTTGGTGTTCTCTTCTCGGAAACCAGTAGCGCTTGCAGCATGGTGAGTGGGTCGCTAAGCTGCCCGCGCTTGCCTGGGGGGAAGAGGCTGAAGGGAATTGACCAGAGAAGGGGCGCCCGCCTCCCTTACGCTCTCAAGGAGTAGCCTTCGCCAGACGGGCGGCGCAAAAGAGGCCGGGAGTCCCGCGACGGTTGTGTCGCAGGTGCTCCCCCACCCCCATTTTCCTCTGGGGCTCCCTGTGCTGAGTCGGGTGCCGGACACGCAGCCGCCGAGGCCACGAGGGTCCCCGGGGATCGGCTAGGGAGGATAGCCCTGGGGTATAGGGCGGGCTGACACATGGGGGCAGGGAGAGGGCGCGCAGTGCGCCTTGGCTGGGCGTCCGGGGCCGATTGAACCCCCGGTGGACGGTTAGCGCGGGCGCCAGGAAGCGCCTTTGTCTCCTCGCTGCCGCCGTTAGTCCTCGCCCGCCGCGTGCGG